CTTGAAATAAACAGGGCTACTAAATGTAACGATTTAATAGGCTGCAGTAGACCCTTTTTTACCTACGATTGCCAAATAACCCCGAACAAACGAGCAGATTCCTGTCAATTGTCAATTTATAGAGACATTAAAAAGTAGTTTGAAGTTGTTACAAACCACTTTATAAGAAAACACTTTCGTGCATTTTGTCCTGCTAAAATAGCACTCTGAACCACTGTGCGTCTCAGCGATTTCACCATAAACTATTTTTAATGCTTTTACCGAATTTATCCGTTACTTTTGGGAAACCCTGTATAAAAAATTGTGAATTTAGGAATATCAGTAGCGAAAGATACACTATAAATGAATCTTCGACGATTGAAGCGGATACCCTTAATTTTTCTCTTCAAATTGCTCATTGTTTTTACAAATATCCATGCAGATTTGATATTAGTTATAGTGTTCTTGAATCACCTGCCAAGTTCTAGACATACAATAGCTCGAAACCTCTGAATACTCTTTCTGTAAACAAACCAAGTATTACTCTACAGCACACAATACAATACCTTTCTAAGGACGATCAAATACCTGATCCTATCATCAAACAACATTCTGATGTTAACTACACCAATAAGATTCGAACATTGAACATCAACGGATTCCTATGCTTGCGCCTACGCTGACGACAGTGCCATAATCGTCAACTCAGAAGATGACCTGAATAGACAACTACACAAGTTTTATCAAGCGAGCAAAGCTATGAAGATGGCTATCTCTACTTCAAAATCTAAATGCATGGTGTTAGCAAGAAAGTCAACAAGATGGTAAGCTGGTAGTCAACAATACGGCCATCAAACAAGTTATGGAATTTTCCTACGTGGGGTTGGGTTGGATACATATCTCAAACACTCATGATCCAATAATGGACCTGAAAAGTAAGATCAACAAAGCGTCTGCAGTATCACGCTAATTACAAAGTACTGTTTGATCGAACAAATTCATGAATATTGATCGTAAGTAGTGCGAATATATGAAACCTACATTCGCCCCTTAATGACTTATGGAATTGAAATACGTGAGCACACAATCAAAACTACGAGCATGATAAGAGTACCAGAAATGAAGATCCTGAAAATAATCTTAGGAAACATTAGATAAGACAAAATTAGAATCTCCGATATTAGAGACCAACGCGGAAGCATTCGTCGGTTCAGGATTACGAGGTGGGGAAGACAGCGCAAGATTTTGGTACAACCATATCCGTAGAATGTCAGAGAACAGACTGCCGAAAATTCTGCTTACCAATAACTCGCCCAGAAGCAAACCACCAAAGAAATAGAGAGACAGACAGCTGGCAGTCAAGTTCTCAGGAAGTATTTCAGATGCAGACTTTATAAGGAATTTTTAGAAGGAATATAATTTCGAATTCCTCTACTCCTATAACTTTTTCAATTTTATACAGCTTTTCTCTTATGCATGACATCACAATGTCTTCATTAATTACAAATGATTTTCAAGTTCTTAAAGTAGTTCCTTCGATGATTTCAGGGAGATAAGTACTTAATTTGGAGAATTTTTAACTGTTGTTAATCGACTTGTAATGGTTAATGCTGCATTTACTGACATGGCCAATGGTGTATGGATTGTTAGTATTGTTTGAAAAAAATCTTGCGCTTGTTTTCTTTTGTGTAAATGTTCGATAACTGCGTAGACACTGACACGTTAATAAATTACCTTTGTGCCAAATCATTTTGTGGTTGCCCACACAGATGATTTCTTCTATGAGCCGATCATATGTAGCGATATCTTTTACGTCGAGCTTCACAGAAACCACTCAAATGCAAATCACCAAATAATGGAAGAAATCAGTTCTATTTTCCGATATTCATCTTTTATAGATTCCACTTTCTTTTTACATCGAGACAATCATGTTGATTGTTGCGGTTAATATCACAGTTTCCGGTTCATATGCTTATAAAACCAGAAATCTATTTTGTTGCGTTGATACTAACATTGGCAAAGTTGTTCTCTGCGATATCTGTCTTTGTATTGATTTAGCCACATTTAGCAATATCTGTTAAAAATTAGAAACAGTTTAACTTTTGTTAGAGACTGTATAAAGATGTCATTATCTTATTGGCGTACGTGACTATGGTATCTTCATATTAACGTACAGCCCGATGTTAGGAGCACTTCAGGATTGAACTTGGTATTAGTATCCAACTCATTCATACTTGCTTATTTCTTGGTGTATAATTTTTTGCTTATGTATCTGAGTTTTTGAGTTATACACTTCTTTGACTGAGGTTGTACTGTGATCGTAGGCTTTAATAAGGGTGTGTGACTTTAACGTTGATAGTGTAAAGGTGGATGGTACGTATGATCGTTCCTACCTGGACTTAATTTCATCTGCATCAAATCAGGAATTCGCTAATATCTGTGTTGCACCTAACACAACTTTCCTTCCAATAACTTTACTTTGACAGACATGATATGACAGGTAATTTGATTTAGTGAGAAGGATTCATTTCCAATTTGGACTTACTCCTACGTGGTTATCATCCCAAACAAATTTCTAATGTTTTATCAAAACAACTAAAAAGCTGCAAATGTGGCAGTTCAAGAAAAGAGAATGCCAGGGAGAGATTTGGAATAACTTTCTGCTTATGATCTAATCTTTGAATTTTTTTGTCAGACTTCTACCTAACCTTCTACTTAAGATAATCTCGAGGTAGTTGGTAGTAGGCAAAGTTGCTATAGCAGGACTTGAAGGCGTAGGAGGACTTTCTTGGTTTTTCTAATGACCTCAATTGTCTATCTTGATTAAGTGGGCTGTATACAATATAATCTGTAAACTCCAAGCTTTTTGGACAGAACAGCAAAGAACCAAACTTGCACATCGTCCAAAGTCAATTGCAACTGCATAATATGTATCTAACATCCAAGGACCTTTTATCGCCGAATGCATGTAGTAATGACTACTCTTTAATTCCGGCCATGTTGTTGACGTCTTATTTACGTCTACAGCTTCTTTAGCCTTTACGCGTAGTTTACCCATAAAAACTAAACATAATATAAACATTTTATAGTGTACACACAGAAGCTTACTATTGTTTTCCAAATTGCTGCGAGGCCACTTTGTAGCTGCAGTTGATTATAATTCGAAACATCATTCTTGGGGATCGGGTCTCATCACCACTGGAGGAAGCAACCTTTACAATTCGACAATAAGCTGAATAGCCTTTTCTCAAATTGAGCCTTTCTTTGAGCTATCAGATTACCATTCTCCATTTAAACCGCCTGGATAAATAAAAAAAAACAAATTGGCTTTTGATTAAACAGTTAATATCTGACGACATTAAGTTGAAGCTTGCTCTCAAAAATGGTAGTAAAATCTGCGCCAAAAATTTTGCGTTGAAATCCGCTCCTTAAGTATCGCCTAGTATAAGGCCTGAATGTTGTCTCCGCGTAATACTCAAAATGATTGACGAGAAAAGAAAACTAAGAAAACCTTGGCAAATCGCCCGAAACCCCAGGAATAAAACTAAATTAAATAGAGCTTTACGACTACTGAAAGAAGCATACAGATACATAAGAGCACAAGTAACAACTAAAAACTTCTTAAAAAACGCTCTATTTGAAAAATAACGCAAACATTGAAACAGCAACCATCCACAAATATGGCTACAAAAGTAAATGTTTTTGCTGAACATTTTCAAAACATATTTACTCATAATTCTAGAACAGCAGTTGCTCATGATGAGCTTATTCGGGAAACACTGGCAGGTTCCTATCAAATGGATTTCCAATCCACAGAGTGAGTATGTTCGAAATTAAGGATATTTTTGATGGACTGAGCCCAATAAAATCGCCTGGACACAACCCGAACACCAACACACTTCTGAAGCAAATTCGAGATGAAGACCTTACGTTAATCCTTTACATCTTTAATGCTGTGATAATAGTAGATTACCTTCCTATACAATGGAAGGTATCACAAATAATTATAACTAATATGATGTCATATCGGCTCATTAGTTTCTGCCGGTGCTGTTGAAGGCACTGGAGAGGGTTTTGTTGACTAGAATGGAGGATACTCTATCCGGGAAGAAGTTAATACCAGATTACAAGTTCGGCTTTAAACCTCAACATGTCATTGTGGAACAGATTCATAGTGTCGTAAGAACTGCAAGAGATGCATTGGAGAATGAAAAGTACTGTATTGCTGCCTCTTTGGATGTTTCTCAGGCCTTTGATAAGGTTACCGTGTTTGAACTCATACCTAAAAAATAGATTCTTTTTAGTAGCCAGCACCTACTATAGGTACACCTCGGATTTTCCAGTTACTAATTCAACAATCCTTGGTACACCGTAAATATGGCTACCGACTCTGAACTTAAATTGGCTACCCAACTTCTTCAGTATCATCTGGACTTGCTTCAGGGGTGGCTAATGACATGAACGATGATCCATAAACTTCAATAATACTCCATTACCGATGGAAAGTCACGTCAGGTACTTAGGAATATATTTGCATAATCGTTTCACTTGGAGCAAGCATATATGGATGAAAAGATTGCAACTGGAAATGCGAACAGGAAAACGTTTTAGCATGGCCATACTGAGACCAATCTGGGAATCATCATGATCATCTGCTACCATCCTCTTTTCTTCCGTTTTCCTTGTGGTTTGGCATACATGATCCTCCTAATTATAATTATGACAACTGGTTCCTCGCGTTTTTTTTAATAGTTGGTGTAATTCAAAGTTGTATCTGCGTTGCCATGTGCCGTTCTTTGAATACTTTAAAAACTTCATCTCTTTGAAAATGAGCAGGATGTCGGTAGCTCGCCTGCTAATTAACGCCGAAAATTAACGTCATACATTTATATGTTAAAATTATACCTTAAATGAGTCATTTTGTCGTACCACAGACGCAAATATGGTGTTATTTGTGTTAACTATTTATTTAAGAGCTAAAATAATAAAATTTGTTAATGACATTTTGTTTTAAATTTTAGAATAGGCTACAGCATTCCAATGTTCGCCGGATTTATAATTATGTTCCTCTCCACTATAAGTAAGTATGAAATTATTAAATTTATCATTCTCAAGTTTAATAGATTTAAATCTTGAAATTAAATTTAAACGTTGAATGAAACGTAAGACTTTCACTACTAAAACAAAATCACAAATTTAATCATTCCTCTCCAAAGCAATTTGACGCAATTCGAAATAGTTTAGTTTGCTCTAGAACTTGTATAACAACTAAAACCAAAAAAAGAATTAACAAAGTAAAGTTTTAACGAAATTACTTCTATTTGAAATTAAACTACGCTTTGATTACAACATTGGTAATTGTTTGTCGGGTATAAATACAGTTGATAGATACCTTTACGGTTGGTTGAATTTGCAGGCTTAAAAGAGAAAAAAAGTAGCAGAATTTACTGCACAGACACAAACGGTTACGATTTGACATAATTTCTCTTTGCTCTCGCTGTTACTATAATAAAACGTATGCGGTAATTTCGCATACTCAACTGCTTATGCGGCGTTCTAAAATTAAACCACTTAACAGGAATGAAAAGAGCAGGAATTCAACCGTTCTCAAACTTGATTTAGTTCTGAGGAAAAAAGGATAATTGTATTCTGAAATTGTGTCAATTAAGCAAATTGGAATAAAAGCGAAAAGAAATATCTCATCAAAAGTTTTCTTGTAAATCTGTTGTATTATATCTTTAAGTTTTTATTTGTGAACGAGAAATATATAAAATACAATTAACTAAATAATAAATTTCTATTTTTTCGATTTTTAGTTTTTGCTTTTGGAAGAAGTTACGGAGTTTTGTTTACTGCGAGAGCACTACAAGGGATCGGTTCGTCGTGTTCCAGTGTATCCGGAATGGGAATGCTCGCTGAACGGTACCCTGATGACAAGGAAAGAGGAAACGCAATGGGAATTGCGTTGGGCGGCTTGGCTTTAGGTGTCTTAATCGGTCCACCCTTTGGCGGATTAATGTACGAGTTCGTTGGAAAATCGGCACCGTTCCTTATTTTATCAGCTTTAGCATTAGGAGATGGATGTAAATAGTTTTTTTTAATATTTTTTTAACTAAACTTAAGTAAAGTATAATGAAAGTATCACTACATTGTAAAAATGTAAGTTTAAAATAGTAGATGTTACTTAATACACTGCACATCTTTTAAACGTTGCTATAGAAAAGATCATCAAATTCAGTATTAAAGTAAAAACACTGATTAATAGGTTTAGAGCTAACGCATTTGATCAATTTAATCCGTATCCAATTGGTTACAGAAAGTCTTTAGATGGCTATGCTAATACTAAATAAGAAATTCTGCAAAAAGTAGAAATTTTGTAAAATCACTATGATCTTATTTTTGAGAGTTAGACCACGATTTATATCTTAAATTGAAGATTAAAGATTCTATTTTAAGATAGCATATGATGTACAGGATACTTGTTTATAAAATTTTCAAGAAAAAGTTGTTCGGAGAAAGGCTGCTAAATTTAGGTTAAATTTGAAGTTGTCAAAAAAATTGAAACTTTGTAAAATCGCTATAACTTTATTTTTTAAAATTAAATTACGATTTATATCTCAAAATGAAGATTAAAGCTTCTATTTTAAGATGGTGTATGATATATAGAATACTTCTTTATAAAAATTTAATCACCACCTTAATGCCTTCAACCATACTTTGGATCTCGTTATTACTAATTTTTATTCAATATCTGACATTTTAGCACTGAGCGATACACCTTTAATTCGTGAGGACATATCTCACATTACTTTAGAGTTTTCCTGCACAGTAATCGCACCTCCAAATCTTAAAGATAACTTACCCGCTTGTTATAACTACAGAAAAGCAAAATTTGACTTACTCAATTCACATTTTAACGAGATTAATTGGGAAAGAGAGTTGGTAGGGCGATGATGTTGATAGTTCTGTAGAAACATTTTACGCTCACTTGCGTCACGGCATTGACAACCATGTTCCCAAAATGCAAAAGCGAGTGAGTGGTTTCCCTGTGTGGTTTACGTTCTGTGCTGTGCGGGTGATTAATGAAAAGAGGAAGGCGCACAGGAAATGGAAGCGCTATGGAAATCATGTTGATTATCTTACCTTTTCTCTGTTAAGAGGGCGAGCAAAATTCCTTATTAACCGTTATTATAAAAATTATATTAGCTGCGCAGAAACAAATATAACGCACAATCCCAAGCATTTTTGGTCATTTATAAAACGAAGAAAGGGCAATAATAATATACCGTCTGTGGTTTATTTGGACAACAGCACCGCTTCCGATCCTCGATCTATCTGTTCATTGTTTGCTGACTTTTTTCACTCTATGTACTCAGTCCCCCGGGCTGGTGTGGTATCTGGTGTCACGACCGGCTTCAATAGTGCAGATACCATTTGCTTTGATCAGATGGAGGTTGAGGAGGCACTGAGAGGAATTGATGCTTCAAAAGGTCAGGGTCCTGATGGTATACCTGCCATTATAATTAAAGAATGTTACGCATCTTTGTCACTTCCTGTAACCATTATTCTGAATAAATCGTTTCAATGTGGGGTTTTTCCATGTCTTTGGAAGCAGGCACATATAGTTCCTATCTTTAAATCTGGCAACAAAAGTGATGTATCCAACTACAGGCCAATATCTTTATTATCAGTTTTGAGTAAAATTTTTGAAAAACTAATTTATAAACGACTATTTTTTCTTACTAACAATAAAATTGATACTAGACAACATGGCTTTTTTGCGGGTTGCTCGGTCGAGAGTAACTTGCTTGAGTACAGTGATTATATTTTTTCTTCTCTTGATCAAGCAATTCAAGTGGATGCCATATACACTGACTTCAGTAAGGCTTTCGATCGCGTAGATCACAATCTCCAGTTGTCAAAGCTTCAAATAATGGAAGTTGATAACTATTTGTTGCTATTGATTGCTTCTTATATGCGTGGTAGAACTCAGGTATATATACAGGTATAGATATAATGGTCGTTCCTTCAGGCGTACCTCAAGGGAGTCATCTTGGCCCCCTTCTTTTTAATATTTACATGAATGACATTTTCACAGTAATAAAACACTCCCAGTGCTTAATGTATGCAGATGATATGAAATTGTTTGCACGAATTTCCTCGCCACTCGACTGCTCGAGAATACAGCGTGACATTAATGCACTACAACTCTATTGCTATGAAAATTTTAATTTCCATCGCAATCGTAGGTGTAGATTTCATAGCGCGTGTGATTAGCAGGCAGGCCAGTCGTTGCAGTTGATGCAGCAATTTAGCTTTATATGCATGTTTTAGTGCTGAGCACCAAACTATGGCTCCGTGAGGTGTTATGGCTACCATGGGTGTTATTACAGAAGTGTAGCGCCTGCTGCATTCTGTAACAAAGAAAATTGTCAGGTTCACCTCTTAACAAGATAGCCACGTCGTTGGCGTAACCATCTGCGAAGAGATATTTATTATTTAACTCACGAATAAGATCATCAACTATTAAGCACTAGAGAAGAGGTGAGAGTACCACACCTTGTGGGCAACCCTTAACCACAGTTCTCTGTACTGTGTGTCTGTTCGCGTTAGCCTGAATAACTCTGCTTGCTAGCATTGTTTTTATCCAGCCCGCGATGACCAAGGGCACTCTTCGAGATTCCAGTGCCCGGTTAATGCAACTAAAGGTGGTTTTGTCAAACGCTCCCTATATGTCAAGGAAAATTCCCAGAATAGACTCTTTCGAATCAAGTGTTTGCTCGATGCGCCCCACTACCATGTGTAGGATGCTATCAAGAGATTTACTTTTGATATAAGCATGTTGGTGCAAGTGCAAAGGAAACGCTTTAAGTACATTCTCCCTAATGTAATGTTCACATAGTCTTTCAAGCGTCCTTTTTTCCATTCTTTGGTATAAAGGTTACTGTAACCTTCCTCCAGTTGATGGGAACGTAATTAAAGGATATTTTCATATGGTCTAGGCTCCATTGAAGAAGAGCAGGAAATATACCGTCGGGTCCAGGTGTTTTGAAGGGCTCAAAACTGCCGACGGCCCACTCTACCAACTCATTCCGTACAACCTGATTGGCTAGCTGCCAGTCCTGGCTGGTAGGAGAGTTGTTAAATTCCACTTGGTGTAGAAGCGTTGAAAAATCTTGCAAAGAACCTGGAAAATGAACATCCATTAGTTAATGCAACGATTCTTCTGGATCCTTGGCAATTTTTATAATTTTTTTTAATGGAACATCCTATATATTTTTACATATTTGGATTTGTCTATTTTCAAGGTTTATGAATAACTTTACTTTTTCCAATTTGATTCGGCTGTTCTTGAGTTATTCGACTTTTTCTAAAAAAATCTGCTCTAGCAGACATTTGTTCAAAAGATCAGAAAACACTCGATTTGGTCACTTTATTATAGCACGTTAACTTTTCGAAATTTGGAAGTACCATAACTTAATTTTTTTAAAAGGCACCTCCATATTTTATTACTTAGTTGTCTTCGGCGTCTCATTTTACATCTTTTATTTGTTTTTTTCATTTGTTTGGGAGATAATTAGTGTTTTTTGAAAAATGCACACATATCATATCGATATTTAACCTAATGTGCCATAGAAAACAAGCCTTCTACAATTAAATTAAAGATCAAAGCTAGAGGTGCTTTGATGAAGCTAAAGGTGGTGTATGATATATAAGACACTTGTTAACAAAAGTTTCTACAAAATATTATTTGAAGAAATATTGCGAAAGTTATTTATTGACAAAAAGTAGAAATTTTATGTCTTAAATTGAAGATTAAAGCTTCTATTTTAATATGGTGTAAGATATACAGGGCACTTAATTATAAAACATTTCACAAAAAAATAATGTTAGAAGAACTGTTGTTAAAATCAGGTTAAGTTTGAAATTTGCAAAATTTGGTCTCTTCATATACCTACTCACAATGCATGTAATTCTTCTATATGGGAACTTATAGATTTTTCTTTAAGCCTTTGAATTTCTCTTTTGAGTTTCTGTGTCTTGTTAAGTCTAGCTTTATCAAAGAGATGCCCTCAGACAAAACTGCAATCTTCTTCTGTCATCTTTTTTTGACAAGCTCTCTCATATCAAGTAGATAATTCATACCTTTGATTATGTGTGTTATACGTCGATGATTGAGGACAGTGAAATGTTCTGCTTCTCTTTCTAGTTATTCACTCGTTCTAAGACTAACGTTTTGGGTAAAATTTGTTCTGGAAATCAATCTGAAGGCTTTCCCAATCAATAGTTTTATTAGTAAAACTTATTCAAGATAACAGCAATATTAAAAAAAGCTGTAGTAACTAATTCAAAACATTGAGATGATTAAATCTATACAGCAACAATTCTCTCAGAGGATATTAGATAGGCTATGTTAAATCGTACCATCCCCGTACGATTTTACATCGCCTACAAGAACATTTAAATACTTTATAACCTTTACCTCTCAATTTCTTAGGCAGTTTAATACAGTCCATATCCTAAAAGTGATAATTCTTATAAGATTTTATGTAAAAAATCGCCTCTAACAAACCCAGCAGCAAAACTGACTGATGATTACTCTAAATCAACTAACCTCTTATCAAAATGATAGATAATGCTTTTCTTCTCCCTTTTATCATCAATATCAAAATATCTTTCTCTTCTGCTTTAATGTTTGACGAGTAATTATTCATATTCGCTATTGATTTCATGGCTACTTTTAAAATATTCATCCAAGTCATCTTCTCTTTCATTTTTTTCTTGCAATATCTCCTTGACTTTCAAATTCTAGACAGAAATATATTTCTAACATAGAAATAGATAATACAACGATATGAAGAAGAAGATTAGCATGCAGTTGGAAGAAGTTCATAATTTGCATTTACAGTGTGATGTTTGGAGCAATATGCGCAATGAAGGTGTTAACAATTTCGTTATTACAAAACCTGAGCCGTTCTTTGTCGAATTTTAGCAAATACATACTTCGGAATACGTTAGAGACGAAATGGGGAGAATATTAGAAAAATATGGACCAGCCCACAATTTTTTTGTAATGATTGGTGATAACGCGGCCAATATGACAAAAGCGTTTAGGCTACTAAAAGAAATATATCCTCACTTGGTACCTTTAGAATGTTTGGCACATTGCATCCTTTATGCAATAATATTTTTAGTTCTCCCTCAATCAAATAATTTATTATCCAAATATCCGATGTTATAAAAGGAGTGAAAAATGTTTTGTCTGCTTTACTTGAAGTACTAAAAGTCTTGCTTAACACATTTATTTAACAAAAATACAAAAATTGGAAAAACACATGCGAACACTTTTACGGTCCAACTACTTCTGTTCCGTTCTTCATCGACTCGTCCGAACATGTGGTCACCATTATCAATCGATGACGTGATCGTAGTGGCTACATACTATCCGAAATAAATAGCAGCAAGCATTGCAACATAAGCCTTAAATTATCACCTCGCAGAAAGTCTTCTCGCAAAAAAAATTTGGTTACTAACACTAACTGTACATGAAAAAGCTATCACTCTAACTAAGAAAATAAAATCTCTTTTGTTGGACGACGATCATTTTTGGCCGCAGATCATAATCTTACGTGACATTTTGAATCCAATTGTGTCTTGGATTACAGTTCTTGATGGAAATTTGCCTTTAATTCATAAGGTTGATAATGCTCTTAAAGAAATTGAGTCTGATGTCATCAATAAACTTACTGATTTTTTGAATGATGATGAAGAGCGTTCGAACTTGATTAAAAAAATTAAAGATCGAAAGAAGTTTGCTACGGGCCCTATACACTTGGCTGCTACAATGTTATATCCAACCTCCAAAGATGCAATCTCTCTCACGAAGAGGAAATTGACTCTATAGAATTTATATACAGGATGTCCGCTGAGGTATCCGAGAAACTTCGTATATGAATTCTATGATCAATTTTAAGCATAAATGATTCTAATCACTTTTCTCGAATTCCAAACGGTTGTTGAAATATTGAGATTTGCAGTTACCAGATCGTATGGATAGATACTAAACAGTAAATAACATGTTGCTAGGTAATTGAATATTTAGCCATTTAATTGATATTAGAATAAAATTGTTGACATTCAGGTCATTAATTGTCATCATTGTTATCAATTGTGCTAAAGTCATGCCTGCAACTTATCCACATGAAGAGTATTATGCATGCGGACATGGTTTTCGTGTATGGATATTGCAACGGTAGTACCACCGCCTCAGTTAGGGAATATCAACGACGATACAAAACCACCGTCTTCCAGACAAGCAAACCTTCGGTAGAGTCTTCACAACTCTTCGATTAAGAGGTGCGTTCCCTAAATCGACTTGTGAAAGAGAAATTAGGCGAAGAAACAATGCTGCAGAAGTGCTTGAGGCTGTTGAAAATGATGATGGTACTAGTACGAGAAGAATTTCTGTACTTACTGAACAAGCTAGGACGGCTGTGCATGACACTTTGCGGGAAAGCGGACTGAATCCCTATCATTACCAACCAGTACAACAACTTATTCCCGAGGATCTTCCCCAAAGAATTCGCCTTTGTGAATGGTGGAGAAATCATCTGGATACTCTTTCAAGAACTCTTTTTTGTGACGAAGCTACATTTACTAGAGATGGAATCAACAATTTTCATAACGAACATGTGTGGAGATTCGAAAACCCTCATGCTGTTCGAGAAACCCATTTCCCGAGTAGATTCTCCGTAAACGTTTGGGCTGGAATAATTATTATTTATTAATTATTTATTAATAATGTTGTTATTGGACCGTATTTTTTCGACGGAAATTTGAACAGCGAAATGTACCAGGCTTTTTATGGAGAACGATCTACCTCTATTACTTGAGGACATTCCTATTCAAATTAGAAGAACAATGTTCTTTTTACATGATGGTGCTCCCGCCCATTATGCAAGAATTGGCACGAATTTCCTCAATGAACAGTATCCAAATCGATGGATAGGTCGTGGTGGTCCCATTGGTGAGGTCATCAACGGGAAAGCCTAATAATAGAGACCAACTTATACAAAACATTCATGCAACGTTTCGAGAGGTAAAAAACAATATGGAGAACTACAACTGGAAACGAGAGCTCCGACAAAGGATTGAATTATGCATTGCACAAGGTGGTCACAGTGAGCAGCTTTAATAATTGCAGTGTCATTAAGCTTTTATTAAAATAAACCGCAATTTTTCCATAGCCAACGTAGCAATGTGTTGTACTGTTTAGCATCCTATTCATACGATCTGTCAACTTCAAACCTCGATATCTCAACAACCGTTTGGAATTCGAGAAAAGTGAATAGAATCATTTATGCTTAAAATTAATTATAGAGTTCATATACAAAGTTTCTCGGATACTCAGCGGACAGCCTGTATACTGTAGCCAAGCAAATGAAACTAGACGTTATGGCTGATTTGGCAAAGTATAAGTCTAATGAAGGTTTGTGGAGTAGAGCTTTTGTATGGGAAAATACAAGCCTCGCATCGATGAGCCCATTGTCGTGGTGGAAAGGATTCTGCAGCAGTACTACATTAAGCAAAATTGCTGTTCGTGTTTTGTCAGCACCAGTCACATCAGCAGCAACTGAAAGATCATTCAGTACTTTCAGCTAGATACACAGTAAGAGACGCAATCGTCTTGAAAGTGAAAGAGCAGGAACGCTGACAAAAAAATATTTACTGAAAATAATAACGTGAAAAAAAGAAAATTTTTGGAAATTTGTGACTAATTCAGAATCTCATTCTGAAGCAAAATCAGAAAATCTGTAGATTTTAAAATAGCTTTTTGTGAATACTAAAATAAAGATCAATACCCAGAGTAAATACCACAAATATAAATATCGAATAAATTCCCATCACTATTTCTAAGTAATACTAAAATAATAATATGAATTTTATTGTTTAAGATTGTGATGTTGGGTATATCTATTGCATGCGGAGTCAACAATTTTTATTTTTGTAGCACGATGTAATGACATCCTTTATTAAAACGTGGAAATATGATTTACAATCACCTGTATCTCTACCTATAATTTAATTGTAATCTTTTCTTTTCAGTATTACAATTGTTGATGCTTCAACCGGCGGTCGTTCGACAGGAAAGCGAGCCGCCCTCGTTAAAGGCTTTGGCAACTGACCCATACATTCTAATAGCTGCCGGTTCGATTACCTTCGCAAATTGCGGCATAGCGATGCTTGAGCCGTCCTTACCGATTTGGATGATCGATACAATGAACGCAGAAAGATGGAAACAGGGAGCTACTTTTATACCTGCCAGCGTTTCCTATTTGATCGGAACAAACCTGTTTGGACCGTTGGGACACAAAATGGGCAGGTGGTTGGCCGCCTTGCTCGGTTTAGTTATAATCGGAGTTTGTTTGATGTGTGTAAGTTAAACACAAAATAATTAATACCTACTTCATCTACAGATAATTCTAATAAATTAAAAATTATGATTAATGGAATCTGTCAATCTAATATTAATTAAGATAAAATAATTAATAAGGAATAAAATATTACCTTGACTGTTTTTAAAAGATAAATGAAGAACCGGCGAGACGATAGCAACAAACCGCCCAGCAATAAACTTTTTCCCTTATATTTCCACCTATTTCTCGGGCCCATATCTTCGTTATCTAGAAAGATAGTGAAAAACTAAGTACGATCTAAGCTTGATCTTATCTCTATCTTAAACCGAGTTTTCGTCCGCCGATATGTTGATAATAAGAGCAAAAAACGACCTTGTGCAGCCATTATCAGATGAAATTCAACAAACAGTTTACACATTCGAAGAGCTGGCCTTGGACTATCTTATTCCGAGTTTTCGTCCCCCAATATCTATCAGCGCCTGTAATAAAAACGCACCTGAAAAAGCCCCTACACGCAAATATTTCTTGCAATAATAACTTTCCTATTTGACAGGGAGAAAACTCTACAACTATATTCAGTTTATGGAAAATTTCCTGCTCTTTCCAACGGATGACATACCGTGATCACATGTTTGCACAATCCTTTTTTCTGACTAAGAACTACCTAACCACGAATTTTTGCCGCGGCTTAACCACGCTTGGGTCAATAACTCTCTTATCTGACGGAGAGAAAACTCTAGAACTATATTAATCTTATGGAAAATTTTCTGCTCTTTCTAACGGTGTATGACACACTTCTTAAGATAGAGAAAAGACAAAGCTTTCCAACCATGTGCTTAGTTTTTCGCTATCTTTCTAGATAACGAAGATATGGGCCCGAGAAATAGGTGAAAATATAAGGGAAAAAGTTTGTTGCTATCGTCTCGCCGGTAAACTTGCATTATTTTTCTTTAAATATTGCAAGTTTTAAGTTTCACCGATTAATTTCCTGTTAGAATAAGATATTTCGATAAGAAACGTTAATACGCCTTAAGAAACCCTCTTTGTTCATTTATTTGATAATGAAACGCACTAATTGAATTTCAGATTCCTCTCGCTAAAAGTATAAACGATCTAATCATTCCTAATGCCGGATTGGGTTTCGCAATCGGAATGGTCGACAGTTCGATGATGCCCGAACTGGGTTTTCTGGTTGATATTCGACACTCTGCCGTGTACGGAAGCGTTTACGCGATCGGCGACGTCGCCTTTTGTTTGGGTTTTGCGGTTGGACCCGCCATGAGTGGAACGCTCGTCAAAACGATCGGATTCGAGTGGATGTTGTTCGGAATAGCCATATTAAACTTTATGTACGCGCCACTTTTGCTGTTCTTAAAAAATCCGCCGACCAAAGAAGAAAAAAAGGTAAGTAATGAAACTAATTTCTCTAAATTTTCAAAAACAAAAATGTTTTATACCCAAAATTGTTCCAAAAGTAGTAAAAAATATTATATTTCATGCGAATCATAACATAGAACTTCCTCGTAGCAATTGTCTATTTTGGGCTTTTGTGTAGAAAAGTCTGAATTTAAAAATGACTGTAGCTGATCAGATGTTAGGTACAAAGCCGATTTCACTGATAAATATAAATCCAATGATAATCCATCAGGATTCGCTGAAAATTTTTATCCCTTCTGAATTTGGCTTACATTTCACCGGTTGATTTTTGACACATCTTCCTTTGTAAGGTCAGATTTGCTCATCAATGGAAACATTTTTGTTGCAAACATTTTCTCGGCATACTCTTTTAACTTTTAAAATTATTGAATGTATTTTCCAGAAGTAGACCATAATCTCAGTGTCATGTTTCTAAAGCCCAGTACTATTTTACTCTTGGCTTACCCAATAATCCAATAACACTAGTCAACAAATTGAAGCTTTTTTTCTGCATCTGCTTTGTAACTGGGTTTATTAATTTTGAAAAGTTGATAAACTGTTGGAACTGGTAAACTCAGTTTTTGTCTATCACGTTATATTTCCTAGATATACAATAGAATCAAAAACAGTACTGGCGAATATTGACTAAACTATAACAAACAAGAAATACAGAACCAGTGGTTTAGAACTTAATATTATTTTATACAGAGTCCGGCAAAATCTCCCACATTTTAATCTTTAATAAAATCGCCATTGTAAATGCTATTTAAATTTGTTATTTATTAACTGAAAATGTATGCTATGCCATTTGTTTTTATTAAGTTTTGAAAATTACAGAGTCCAAGTGGCGACCATTTTTTTCGATAAACATTCGAAGCTGATTTCTGAAAGTTTCCATCACTCGAGCAGTAATTTGAGGCTATATTCCTGTATTTTCTTGGCGTATTGCTGCTTTCAATTCGTCAATGGTTCAGGGATGGTGTTGAAAAACCTTCGCTTTCAGGTAGCCCCAAAGGAAAGCGTCGCATGGGGCAAGATCGGGTGAACGCGCAGGCCACCCAACGTTAAAACCTTAAAACGTCCATTGTTCGTCTTGCCGTATGAGCCGTAGCTCCATCCTGTTGAAAGCACACATCCGGATGTTCAAGTTCTCTAAGTTTTGGTTTAAAAAGAATGCGTAGCATGTCGACATATCGATTGGCAGTTACGGTAACCGTTACGCCTCCCCCTTCAAAAAATAGGGACCCCAAACGCCAAAAGATCCAACAGCAGACCAAACGGTAACACGTGGGCTGTGAACTGGCCTTCCATGGAGCAGCCGCGGATTTTCTGGTGCTCAGTAGCGAAAATTCTGCTTGTTCACATAGCCAGATAAATGGCAATGAGCTTCTTCACTCGTTATCTAAAGAGCATTTTGTGGGACGTTTTGAAGAATGTCGTTCTAACATGCTCTGCAATTTTCCCTACTAAGTTCTTGCACAATCATCATTTTGTATGGGTGGAACTTCAGATGGACGTGTAAAATTCTTCTCATAGAAAGATGTGACAAACGCAAACCATGTTTTGCAGCTGAACGGGTAGAAGATCGTTCAAGTGCTTCTCTTACAGCTGCAACAGTCAGGTGTCAGGTGTCCGAGCACTTCTGGGTCTACCAGTTGATTTTCTTTTTAAAGTTGAACCTGTGGGTCTAAAATTTGAAACCCACAACAGTATTGTTTTGCGATTTAGAACCGGATCATGTCTACGAAGCACGAAGTGAGTACGAAGAGTTCTTTGCGTCGTAATCACTGACTCGTTTCTTTTCATAAATGTTTCGATAATGAAGACACGATGCTCGCCCGTCCAATTCATGACTGTTCCTGACAACATGACAAATGGGAAAGCGTGAGCTACCAACCAAATACGCTAACCTCCCCCTTTTTTCAGTGATTTTTTTGGAACCTGTATGTACCGGATCTGTCATGACGAGCTGAGTCTATATGCATGTGGCAAACTACTGAAACTATTTTTCTGAAAATTTGCATATAGCGTTTATTCAAGGTGCTCGTATTTTAGTTTAATATTTTAGTTAATATTTTTAGTTTTCTCCAACTTCCGGTTATACCGGAATAACTGTTTATAATGGAATGTACTAATTTTTATTGAATTTTCGAGATCCCCGCTAAATTTTAATATAATTTGATATAAGTCATTATATATCTAGAGTGCACCATTTTTGAATTATTTCAGTTTTTTCAAAAATTTTGGCAGATGCAACCATTCACAATAAAAATAATTTTTCGAAATTACACTCGAGTCCGGCTAAATATTCTCAGGGTTTGCACAGAGAGGACCCATAGTTTACATAACCCTTGAAAAGTTTTTAAAAAAATTATACAGGTGGTCAGAAATTTGCGCCGAATTTCCCTGTTTCGAAAAGTCGAAAACTTCATTTTGAATTATGAATTCTTTTTAAAAACCTGGTAGGTATACCTGGCACTCCGAATATCTTCCGATGAAAAAGATCGAAATGCATAACTCTTTCTTGAAATTCTTCCCTTGGTAGCATACACGGTATCTTTTATACGACCCCAAACAAAAAATCTAATGGAGTGATATCGGGTGAACGGGGAGGTTATTTATGGGGTTCGTTGTTAGCTATTCAACGATCCTCAAAACGATTTTGTAAAAAATTATATATAAGCGCACTACTATGAGGTAGAGCTCCGCCGTGATGGTACCACAGCTGATTCCAGTTTAGATTTAGCGGCTGTAGATAATTTTGTAAAATTTCCAGGTATGTTTCGCCCGAAATAATGAACAAGAATTAGAAACAAAATTTGCCCTACAATTTTCAATAAGCTTACCATTCAAATTTTCGTTATAAAAGTGTAGCACTACCACACCATCATTTTCAAAACTGTAATGTCATTTTCTTCGTTAGCTACGATTGGTTTAACTCTTTTGTGCTTTCCAACAAACTGGCCATAGGTTCTACAATTACAAAATCCTAAACGGAACGTGATTAACACTTTTGCAACGTAAAAGTTAAATTATTTGTTTTAATACGATAGTTTTTGTTTCTACGATTTGGTTGCTTCAAACCAAAGACAACTGATAATTTTAGATTTACTAATAACCAAGAAAATTTAACTTTTTTCATGTTCTACGAAAAGCGTACATTTTAGATATAGAGATGTAATGACAAAGTTCCCTTATTTTCCAGCGTACAATAACGCTGGTGAAGGAAAAAGTTGGGGTTGCCATTTAAAAAAATTAAGTTTTCGACTTTGCGAGATAGGGAAATTTGGCGCAAATTTCTGACCACTACACATTTTTTTCGAAAACTTTTCAAGGGTTATGTAAGCTATGGGTATATTTGGCCGGACTCGAATGTAATTTCGAAAAATTATTTTTATTGTGAAGCGTTGCATCTGCCAAAATTTTCGAAAAAACTGAAATAATTGAAAAATGGTGCACTCTAGACATATGATGACTTATATCAAATTATATTAAAATTTAGCGGACATCTCGAAAATTCGATAAAAATTGGTACATTCCATTTAAAATAACAAAGTTGGGGTCCATTTAGGATATAACCGGAAATTGGAGAAAACTAAAAATATTTCAGCTGAAACGAGCACTTCGGGTAAATCCTGTATGCAAATTTTCAGAAAAATAGTGCCAGTAGTTTGCCATATACATATAGTTACCGCATAAACATGATGCCAATAGAATGTCTAAATTAGATCGCAATACATTTCTCAACTTTAACTTTCTTCAGTGTTCACAAAATCACTTTCCCTAACAAGACCGCAGCAATAGTCGCCCATCATCAAAAGGGTTCCCTGCTCGTGGTTTACGGCTCCCATATTTTCCGGGAAGAAATTAAGAGGGGAGTATAATAAATGAATTTTAAGCAACATCCTACATCCTATATTTTTATAGTTGACAACAAACTATTCACAATGGAAACACAGTTATCATCTTTTCTGGTGCCCTTCACAATTGCTTTAAAAGATGACCAAGCAGTTAATGCAATATTTGTGAGATTGATATCAAAGGCTGGATCTTTCAACAATTTTCTTAGCTGTGGCCCAACAAATATACCTTCCTTCAGCTTTTCTTCACTCAATTTGAGAAACTTTTCTTTCAAATGATTGAAGGCCTGTCCTCCTTTATCCAAAGCTTTTACAAAGTTCTTCATAAGCCTCAACTTGATATGAAACGAAATGATTTTATCGGAGTTAACCAATGGAGTGTTTTTCACATTTCCTTTTCCATCAACATATGATTTTCTTATAGATCATTTCTTGACTGTATAGTGGTTTTTAGTATCACGGCTATCCCATAAGCACAAAGAGCACCAAAAAATCGTGAAACTTGTAAGGAGTGCAACAACATTTCAACCACAACAAATTATAAGCCATAGTTTCATAAGTTTCTTTCATGTTTACTGTGCAAGCAAATGCACCGATGGGAATATATTGTCACTATGCAATAAAACTGCTTTCAAGCTCGTTTTACTTGATTCAATAAAACGTCGCCACTCCTGTGGGTTATGTTGTACACCTAGCTGCATCATCAGACCGTTTACATCTCTACAGACGCACATTGAATTCTGCATTTCAAAGTATTGAGCGAAGGAAGTACCTCTTGATTAAAAACAGAGAATTCTTGTCCCGATATTTGTCGAAAATTTTAGATCGCAAACCAAATCGTCCAGTTGCATTTGGGATGTAAATGCAAAATGGCTGTTAATTAGTGTAACCATCCAAAAAAAGCGTTAAATTTTTGCTACAGTAGTGTTAACAAATTTTTCTGTTTGCGCGTAGGTCGTAACATTTGCACAAAAAAACCTATGTTTGTAAAGAATACAATACCGCTCAAAATATTGTATTGGCTTTTTGACATTAAGTTTCTGATATATTCACTGCACTTGGTGTAAATGCGAATTCTTCGTCGAACTAGACAGACGTCTCATCATCAGAGAAATCCTAGTCACTATT